AATGTTAGATTACTCATCATCTGTACGATGAAACACTCTCACCTTTGAGCACATAAGGGCGCTGGAGATCCAGGTTGTCGGTACCACTGCGGCCGGCAGTATAGTAGATGTACCATGCACCATCGAGGTAGTGCAGCTCAGGTGCCCACATGTTGCAGCATCTGTCAGGGTTCGAGTCGGTCCAGACAACCTTTGTCTCCCCTGTCTTCAAGCCTCCAAGCGTCTTCGCTCTCGTGATTGAAAGGTTCGTCCATGTCGTCGTCATCATGTAGTAGTAGCCATTGGTGTAGGCGATGTGAGGGTCTGAGCCATCCTTTTGCTTGAGTGGGTTGCTGAAGCTTGCTGCGCTGACGAGGGAAGAGAGTGCGAGCACGCATGTGCTGAGCGATTGGAGGAACTTCATGGCGGTAAAGAGAGAGGATGAAACCTGCAGTTGAACTGGTAGTTTTTAATGTGTTCGTAGCAGTCCATCTTATAAGAGATCTGACATTGCACTTGATATTGAGCCGCAACAAGATTGAAGGTATACGCCACAACCCCAGTTCTTCCGTCCACGACTTACATTTTGTGATCATCCGGCTTTCCACGAATGACCACCATGACTGCTGGAGAGCCAAGATATCTCTAGCGGAAATCTGGGGTGCAGCGCAAAAACTAGAAAGGACTAGAGGAGCGGACCGCTGGGCTCAATGTCTGTAGAAGGCTCCGATTGGTGCAAATGAGTATGCGCATCGGGCAGCCCTCCGCCCCACACATGGTCCTTCCTCATGTAGACTACGAGACTTCCATCACGTGTGTACGACTGATGCCATGTGGGGATGGTAGTGTTGTGTAGTTGTTGCGATAAGTACACGAAGGGGTGTCGGGAGTTTGAGGCTGCGTTGTGACGCCTGTGCAAGCCAATGAGCCGTCGGGTGCCGATGTGCCGAGGTCCTTTCCCATTTTGCGCGAAACCTCATCATCTCCTGCCTGCCATCTAACCCCATCTCCCCCATACTCTAGCCATTGACACTGGCACTCTTTGGCATACCGATGCCCACTGCGGCTGTTGCGCCAGCATCCACGGGCAATACTGCACCCGTTATCCATCTCGCATGATCTGAACTCAGAAAGGTTACAGCGCATGCTGCATCCCAGCCATTGCCTTCTGTACCCAACAGACTTCTTTTCTTTCGCGCTTCTCGGGCTTCTTCGCTCATGCCGCCTGCATACATCATGGGCGTGTATAGCATCTATATCATGTCAGTTTGTTGTTGTGCAGCAGGAATGAAGAACGTACGCCCGGGCAGACACAGTTCACCCTGATACCATCGGGTGCGTGATGCGCTGCCATTGCCCTGGTCATGTTGACCACCGCGCCTTTACTGGTCGGATACAGAAGATGCGGTGTGCCGCCCTTGAGTCCAGCGACGGAACCCATGTTGACGATGCTGCCTTTCGTTTCGCCGTCGTTCTTCTGCATAGCCGGTATGCAGTACTTCGCCATCTGCACCATACTGCTCACATTGATCTCAAGTCCTTTCGCCCAAGCTTCCATGTCGACATCAACCGCCGTTCCTGATGCACCGCTGACACCGACGTTGTTCACCAGTATGTCCAGCTTGCCGAACTCTTGCATTGCTTTGGCTACTGCAGCCTCGCAGTCATTGGCCTTGGTGACATCGGCTTGAATCGCGATAGCTCTTCCGCGATGCGGTTTTGAAGCTGCCATTTCCGCAGTCTTCTGAGCCCACTCCATGTTCAGATCCAAACAGAGGACATGGCAGCCCTCATCGGCGAGCATGATCGATATCGCACGCCCGTTCCCAATTCCATCACCATCGCAACCTGCTCCGGTCACGATCGCGACTTTGCCTTTGAGTCCGCGTGGTGGAGGTTCAGACGACACTGTAGCCATCTTGTTGGACTCAGGTATATGACGTTATCTCTGGCTGGTGTTTGCGGATGACGATTTGGATCATCGAGTTCAAAAGCTGGAGCACATAGTCATCTCCGAGCCAATGATACCAGAATCGAAGCGACTAGGTTAATGATGGTGCGCCGACGACAAGCAGCTCCAAAAAAGCAAACGTGGTGTTGGTGGCATGCATGTGAGGACCTCGGCACATTGCGGGGTGACGCTAGCGACCGGGCGCAGATATGACGAAGGGGACTCGACGCGTCAATGCTAGGCTCGTACGAAGTCTGGCTACATCTCGGATACATATCGCTTCAAGCCCTCCACTCAAGGCAGCAAATCTTTTCTCATCAAATCGACAATGGACTTCTCTCAGTACGGCGGACCGTCAGAAGAATGGTTGGCAGTGGAGAAGACACTGCCCGCGCGGACCTTCGACATCTCGTTGGATCCAATCGTTCTGCGTAATGCGGTCAATTCTGAGCGAGAAGCCCGCTCTGCAGAGGTGAAGCAATTGTTCGCACCACATGTCCAGACCAAAGATCACGCCATTCCGACCCGCGATGGCTCAACCATCGAAGCTCGAACCTATCGATCCGTGAAGAAGGATGCATCCGAGAAGCTTCCTGTATACCTGTACTTCCACGGTGGAGGCTTCATCTTCGGTAACACGTTTGGCTTGTGATGTATCAAGGTCTGTTGGCTGACGATAAGACAGGATCGCTGAGTAGCGAGGACCCGCTATGTGCGCAAACCGCGATCAAGACTGGGGCTCTGGTGCTGAATGTCAACTACCGCCATACACCAGAACACATCTTCCCAACCGCCTGGAATGACACTCATGACGCATTCGTCTGGCTGCACAAGAACATCGACATGCTCGGAGGCGATCCATCCCAAGTCCTCGTCGGCGGCATCTCAGCAGGCGGCAACCTAGCTGCTTCCCTGACTCTAGAGCAGCACCTTGGAAAGAGCGAAGACATCGCAGGTTTACCCACAATAGCCGGCCAGATCCTAATCATCCCAATGCTCGCCCACCCAGCTACCTACGATCAAGGGCCAGGCAAGCTGCTCAACCCCTCAACCTCATCCTACGTTGAGAACGAAGATGCACCGGTTTTGCCGAAGAAAACCATCGACTTCTTTACCAAGCTGCTGAAGATCGGGGATGTAGATCTCAAAGACACGAAGATGAATGTTGTCAATGCGACGGAAGAGGAGGTCAAGGGTTTTCCTCCTACGGTGTTTGGTATTGCTGGCTTGGACCCGCTGCGCGATGAGGGGCTGTTGTTTGCGAAGAAGCTGTCCGAGGCTAATGTTCCGACGTCTACTACGCTGTTCAAGGGCGTTCCGCATGGTCATAGGCGCTTTGGGAAAGCGTTGAAGGCGTCTGAGCATTGGGATCAGTGTGTTGATGAGGGTATACTTTGGGTGCTTTCGAAACCGGAGGCTACAGGGAAGTTCGATGTGAGAGTACCGTAGTGCTCACGCGACTACAAGAGGACTGTTATGTCTAGTCGGGATGTTTTCATGTTGTACGTGCCGTGTGTGCCCGCCATTGGTCTCGTGTAGGCGTCCAATGAGCTCGAACCGCTTAGCCAAGAGGCACAAGACACGTCGCACTTACCCTTGCCCAGCCTCGACCTTCTCAATGATACAAACGTGTGCCACCCGATAATCATTGCTATCTACATACTAGCGACGCTAGTCACGCACCAATGCGGCTCCTTCATATTGAGTCCAATGATACCCCCGATCCTGCCCTACAGATCTCGTTCTCGGAGTTTGTAGGAAGCAACGTCCCCCCATACGCGATCCTTTCACACCGATGGCGCGAGCAAGAAGTTCTCTACGATGACATGATAGCTGTGGACCGCAGTATTGCACGCAGCAAAAGAGGTTACGCGAAGCTTGAGATGACGTGCCGACTTGCGCTTGAACATGGCTTTAGCTATCTCTGGAGCGATACTTGCTGCATCGACAAGAGTTCCAGCGCCGAATTATCCGAAGCCATCAACTCGATGTACAGTTACTATACCCATTCAGAGTGGTGCATTGCATACTTGGACGATGTGGAGCTCGATGAAAAACAGCCCGGCAGCTTTTTCGGAGCGGATGGAACATTCTCCAGATCAGCATGGTTTTCGAGAGGGTGGACTTTGCAAGAGTTAATCGCCCCGCTCAGGCTGGCCTTCTACACGAAGAGCTGGAACAAGATCGGCACTAAAGCTGGTCTGTGCCATCAAATTTCTATAGCCTCCAACATTGCCGAGGAGGTTCTAAGAGATCGAGGGAGAATTAGTACCGTGGGCGTATCCGAGAAGATGTCGTGGGCGGCGAAAAGAGTCACGACGCGACCGGAAGACGAAGCGTACTCCTTAATGGGTATTTTTGGCGTGAACATGGCAACTTTGTACGGAGAGGGCAGAAGCACCGCATTCAGACGGCTGCAGCTCGAAATTCTGCGGACAAGTACTGACCATACTCTTTTCGTCTGGGAATCAAAGGCAGTCAACGGCGACATGCTAGCGCCAAGTGTGTCATGCTTCTATAACGGGGCAAGCTACGAGCCATGGGCTTATTCACAAAGTCTGGTTTACCGTCTAGACCTGATGCCAAATTACGAGATGACAAACGCGGGACTCCGCATACAGCTACCTTTGAAACGTACGCCAGAGCGCAAAGAGCTATCCTCCGCATATCTGGCATGCAGGCACAAGTTTGATCCTGAGTTCTCTGTTGCCATATACATCAGCCGACTCGGCGGGTCTTCGAATTTCCCTCGCTTTTGTAAGGAAGTCTATTTAGGTGAAACCCTGCGCCTTGCACAGCGACCGTATTTGGAGAATGAACTACCGTATGACGTTGGGTCTAAGCCGATATGGATTGCAGGCGAGAACCATCTGCTAAGACAGCCCTTTGAGGTTGCATACCCGCTCGTTGATCCAGACTGGTCGTAGTCGCTAGGGGTCTCTGCGGCTGGAGTCGCGGTGGTGAACAGTGCACGTTTCGTTATTAAAAGCTCCATCACGACGTCGATATGACATTGATGTGGAAGTCGAATTTCAGTGTACCTAGATAGTTGTCTACGATCTGAGTGCGCTCAGTATCTAGCAATAAACTCCAGCACACCCTTCACAAATGCCTCAGGATTCTCTTCGGCAATATAATGCGCCGCCTCCTCGATCGTCACCATCTCCGCGCCTTCATGATACTCGTTCGCCATACCATCCGCAGACTGCGCCAGCATGAACTTTTCCCCATTCATAAGCATCGACGGCACCTTAACCTTCCCATGTTCAGCAACCCATTGCCTATTCTCCTCCGCATCCTTCTCAAACGCACGATAGACCTCCAGTCCCGCTCTGATAGCGCCAGGTTGCGAGTACGCAAGCGCGTAATGCTCGAGATCAGCAGGCGAAATAGCCGCACTGTTATACGAAATCTTATCGAAGAAGTGCTTGAGATACTCCCGCTCTTTGCCCGCGATCAGGAATTCTGGGAGATCCGGCACTTGGTGGAAAACAAAGTGGAAAACGTCGGGAGTGCCTTTGACATCCTCGTAGCACGAAGTACCGGGTAGCGGACATTCACCCCAAATGACGCTAGCTACATCATCGGGACAGCGCGATGCATACGCAAACGCAATCATGCCACCGATGTCGTGTCCCACAACATTGATCTTCTCTTTGATTCCAAAGTGTTCTTGAACCAAGATGTGCAGGTCCTCCGCCATCTGCGTCTTTTGGTAGCCCGTTAGGGGTTTTGAGGATTGTCCGGCGCCACGGTAGTCGGGCGCGATGACGCGATAGCCGGCATCTGATAGCGGCGTGATGACATGCCGGAACTGGTATGATGTCTGTGGGAAGCCGTGGATGAGGAGTATGACGCCTTTCGTTTTTGAAGAAGATGTGGGTGGGCATTCGATGTAGTTTAGGCGTATCTGTTCGTTGGATGTCGTGGTGATTGACGCGATTCGTTGATGCCAGCGCGAGCTGTCGATGGCTGGGGATTGCGGGAAGACCATGATGGATCGATGATTGAGAAACAGCAGGTCTAGTATGAGGTAAAGATGAAATACATGTATCCGGTGGAACGCATGCTCTCATGAGAGGCCCTGAATTGATTTGTAAGGCATGACGCTCTCGCAGCGTCATACCCAGTCTCGAAGCGTGCGGATTGGAGTTGTGAATATTATTGTTATTCTTTTCCACCCCATCTAACGACTTCTTCCTAGAAACTCGGTGCGCTTCTTGGCTTATAGATGTCTTCCTTAGGTCGGAGCACCATGGCGATTCAGACGTTGTCCTTGGAGTGATGGTCTTGGAAGCTATTCCGTTTCAGGCCTAGCTCCTCCAGTGTTGATACCTAGGTATTTCGACAATGATCTCGTTATACAGAACGGCCATTGCAATGACACCTGGATTTTGAAATGCTTTGTCCGACGGATAATTGTCTACGACGCGCAGTACATTGGCCGTTTGGTGTTGGTCTGTCAGACTTCTACTGCGCCATCGGGGAGTGGCGTCTGATGCCAGCTTCGCGGCAACGGCAATTCGAAGTGTGCAGTAGTTCGTCCGGTAACCCGTCTCTTATCTCCTGGAAGGTATATCCACTATCCGGGTTTGATGAGCGGCTCCATCTTTCTTCATGTCTCGGATATCTTGAGTCAGGCCGAACGCTATCCTCTGCGCGATTCAGTCGAGATGCCGAATTACATGAGCATGGAACCCAAGAGGGTAAAGAGTAGATTTAACAGAGAGAAGCATTGACGCCTTGTGGGAGCAAGAATGAAGGATCGGGATTAATGGAACATCTGAAGATGCGCATGCGACACGCTAGAAGGGTTGCCCCACCCTTTGCCGTCTTTGCCTGAGATCCGCCTGAGGACCCTTGTCGAGATGACCAATGAAACCGCGCTTGGGTTGATGCCATTCTGCCGGAGACGTGCAGCTGCGGTAACGTCTGTCGCATGTCGTTCCTGTATCAACGCCAACTGTATCAGGCCAGTAACATGGCGAAATTCACCCCCGCAATGCCGCAACTTTCCTCAGGTGCGAAAAGCAACCGGCGCGTATCGTAGTAATCAGGACGGCGACATGGCGATATATAAGGTCGCAGGGGATGGCGATGCATCCAGCAGTAAACCCATCATAGCCTCTTACGCCTTACCATAATCATCACCAACAATGCCGACGCACGGAGAGAGGAACCTCGAGCTCGGGAACCAGGCGTATGCTGCTTCCTTCGACCAGGGCCATCTAGCACTACCACCCAGTCAAAGATACACCATCGGTAAGCACCTGCAACCACATTTCCAGCCATCAGCCGCTAACATGACGCGTCAGTAACATGTATGGACGCGCGCATCGACCCAACTGCCGCCTTTGGCATCCCTCTCGGAGCCGCCCACGTAATCCGCAACGCCGGCGGCTGTGTACACGACGCGTTCCGATCCATCGTCATATCCCAACAACTGCTTGGAACAAGAGAAGTCATCGTTGTAAAGCACACCGGATGCGGCATGCTCACATTCGACAACCCGACTGCGAAAGCCGTGGTCATGAAGAAGAGGGGAGAGATAGCCGCGAGAGAGGTGGAGACCCTCGACTTCCGGCCTTTCCGTGATCTGGAGATCCAAGTCAAGAAGGATATACAATGGCTGCGGATCAAAGCGATCGAAGAGAACATTCGGTTCAGCGGGTGGATCTACGATGTCGAGACGGGGAAGACGACGAGAGTGGTGTGAGCTGATTGGAGGATATGATTGAGCTTGCGATATACCCATAACAATGTAACAACATCTTGTGAGTCTTGCCTGTCAACGTACACATCAGCCCAGGTGTAATTATCGTGATGTGGAGTTGTCGGTATTCCCTGGCGCCTGCCTAGGTGTGTCCACGGGTGACAGTCAATACCTTTCCTCTTATGAGCTAGCGGCGTGGCAGCCTAACGCCCTGTCAACTTCCACGACGCCCTTTATCTCTGCGCTCATGCAACAGCAAACCTCAATTTAGTTGCATTCACTCACTTACACGCACGTCAAGCAGCCAAATACACTGATCGACCATGAGCTCCAAAAACGCGTCGCTAGAGGGCTTGCCAGATGAGCTGGGGCAGGAAATAATCACACATCTCGACGCCATTCGCTCTTACGACACGCTCTTCAGGTACACCGAACACCAGAAAAACGTGGCGATAGAGGCAAATCGTCAATCCGATAATCATAACCGCAGGCTGGCCTTGTGCAGTCTCTGTCTGACATCTCGTTGTCTAAGGCGAATTGCTACCCCAATCCTGTACGCCTCGTTCATAGGGACCGCCGCCGAGCATGGCACCGAACCTCTCCAGTTGTTTCGCGAAAGAATCTTAGACTCCTCTGGCTCGGGTGAGAAACTTCACAAGTATCTGAAGTACGTGGAGATTCGACGCATGGACAAGAAGTTGCAGAACGACAGCACACCTCCGCACACCATCGCACAACATTACCTTACCATGCTAGCCGACATTGTCAAACAGGCGGTCAACCTACAACACTTGTCGATCGAGAATATCGAAGACCATGAGCGATCCTTCTGGAGACACTTTGTCCCTGGACGGGAAACAACGCTTTCGCCTACGCCCAATCCAGGAGCCGAACATGTTTTTAGCAAGCTTCAAACATTGTGCGTCAACACGACTCTCCAACACTACGGACTCGACGCCAAAACCATCTCGTTCGATCAAATTTGTTCCGTGGTATCGACGGCGCCCATGCTCACCGACTTCCGAGCGCGTAGCGTCGTGGCACGATCGCCAGCATCGATGCCTCAGCTTGGCTCATGGCGAACGCTGCAGCGCCTCGAAATCACCTCATGTCGCCTCGTGATAGAGGCGATGGCCAGTATTCTATCTGCATGTGAAGGCTTAAAACATGTTGTCTGTACATGGATGCCTATGGAGGACTTTGAAAGGTCGCCATCCGACCTGTACGCCAGCCTTTTACGACACGCTGACACGCTTGAATATCTACATCTTGATATTCGTGAAATCATATTCCGATCAGAGGAGGAGGCCTCGGACTCTAATTTAGACGAAGATTACGTGGAGATGGTACCGCTCGAACCTCTCGGCACTCTTCGACCTTTCAAACGTTTGAGCAAGTTGGTTATATCTCAGAACGGCTTGCTCGGTGCTTCTGCTCCGTACGCTGATTTTTCGAGGAACGCGCCCCCAATAGCCGAGCTGCTATCACCGTCTCTCACAAGCCTCACGATGCTGATTGGTGTTGAAAGCCGATATCGGGCGGGATACAAGAGCTTGGATACATCGACTGTCCTGCGGGATTTCGTCGTGGAATGCAGGACATCTGATCTGAGCTTGGAAGACGTGAGTTTCCAAGCTGAGTTCGAGTTGTCTGCGGCGCCCGAGACTACGAAGGCGTTCTTTGACATTGGTGTGCGTTATGAGCAAGTATTGGAGCGGTACTGGGTCCACGAAGCCTTCAGGTAGAAGTTGTTGAATGGCTATGCGCTTTGCGTACTGCAAATCGTTGAGAATGCGATAGTCGGTGACAACATCAGGTACTGAAGGACGCGACATGCGCACTAGCAAGCATCAAACGACACTGTCAAACGCACACATCGGCTTATATAGGCCTATGTCCTCCTAGTAGCCAAGCTCCGGTGACGTTGCGCGACGCGGATGCAAACATTCATTGGAAGAGCGCATGTGGATCTTCCTCTATTGCACCGCCGTCGGCCTGACGACACGATTCTGCCTTTACTTTAGTGATGGCCATTGCGGCCATGAACCTCCACGTGCTAGCGCCCCTCACCAGGCGATTGTATATCCATATAAGTCAGACATTCTACCGCTATAGACTTACGTTCTTCCACTCTCTACCTTGGTCAGGTATCGTATCGACATCACTCATTGGCCTTTACTTGCTCGATCAGTCCTGAAGCCAGTCCTATATCAGCGGCATCGTTTACCTCACCACTCAACTACAATAAGCAATTGGGTACTACTAGTTCGAGTAACCGCACCCGTGAACAGTCGTCAACATGGCGACTACAAGCGACCAGGCCACTCTTCTAGACACCGCGTCGCCCGCAGACATCAAGACAGCCGCTGCGCATACAGAGACAAAAGAAGGAGAGGTTTGTAGTCAAGAGAACACATTGGACTTCGATCCTTCGCCTGTCATATACAGAAAGTCTGCGCCCGACGTCGAGAAGCCAATTGGTACCCAAGAGCAAGTTGCTATCGAAGATTCAACAGATGTCAAGACCGCGACTCTTGGTTCCCCCTTCCCCTCACCCAAGCTTGTTGCGGAAGACAACAGGAGTGTTGCCTCTCTTGAAGATGGAGAGATCATAGAGCAAGACCTTGACGGCGCAGTTGGAACGAGCTCTGTGACTATGCAAGAGCAACAAGAGCAAGTTGACGAGAAGGCGGAGTCAAAGCTTGGTATGTCTCACTATCATCACCAAAGTCATCTGCTAATGTGAAGGAAAGCATCTCAAATCGCCAAGAAGGAAGCTCCTCTGGCATCGCCCCCTGGACTGCATGTCGAGGCCACCAAGACCGACGTCGACACCGGAGCCGAGGACAGCGACGTCAAGACCGACACAGACGCGAATATCGAGGTTCCGAAGCCTTCGAGGCCAGCTCATAGTCTACCCCCACACATGCGCCCTGACTTCCAGTCGCCTCCATCCCGCCTTTTCGGCCTTCCGGACCCGAGGGTAGGCAGTCCCACAAGCCTTTGGATGTACTTAAAACTAACCTATACAGCAAATCATGTCGCCAAACGAGGTCATTCGATTCCACGATGCTCAGCGCGCTCGTTTCCACTTCAACTCTCACGGATCCCGAGGAGGCGACCACGGCGATCGCGAACAAGTCGTCCGCATGAACGCACAGGTCATGAAGCTAAAGAACGAACTCGATGCCGAGCGCAACAAGGGCGTGCGTCTCCGCAAGTCTATCGAAGCTGAGCAGCAACACAAGGTCGAAGCCGCATCATCCGTCATGTTGACGAACCTCCTCCGCGACCAAGCCACAACCCTTACGCTCAAGTCCAAAGTCGAAGCCCGAGAGCGTGACCTCGATGAACGCGAGCAGAAGATCGCACAGTTCGAAGTCTATCTCTCTGAAGGCCAGAAGCAGCTCATATACGCGCTAGAAGAGAACGGCGATAGACCGATGAGTGCCGTGCAGATGGAACACGCCCGCCGCGAAGCTGAACTCCATGCGCAGAAAGCCATGGCTGATATGAACGGCAAACTCAACATCAAGATCGAAGCCCTCCGTCTTCGCGAAGCAGCCCAACAAATGCGCGAGCAAAACTGGAAAGCTATTGCCCGCGAGCAACTTGAAGCCGAGTTCGCCGATAACTCCATCACTCATGAGAAAGCTGATGAGGTTGCGGAGGAGGCGTATAACGATGGGTTTGGCGCGGGTAAAGAAGCGGGCCGTAAAGAAGCACTCAAGGAATCGCACCAGCGCGGATTTCTCGAGGGATATGGCGCGTGTCATCGTACGCAGGTCACTTTGAGTAAAGTGCGTCAGGGCCTTATCGCGAGGGATGATCCGGAGCTGGACTTCTTGTATGATGCCAATCATCCTCACAACCTCTACACCATTGGCTCTCTTCTCGGTCGCATGGAAACTGAGGACAGCAAGCAAGCGACTGCGAAGGCTGTTGGTCAGAAGGAGATGGTTGCTGAAAAAGGCAACCCCGTTCCTGATAGGAAGATCGAAGCTGCTGAGGAGAGTCCGAGGATGGGTGGCAAAGTCAACGGCCACACCAACGGCCCCAACGGCGGTCATCCCAACGGCATCAACGGCAACACCAACAGCAACATGATCCACAAGCGCGAAGAACCCGCCATCAAGATGCCTCCGCCCCGCCCGACCTTCGCCGCCGAACTCCGCGGCCCCTCGCTGACACACAACGGACATATCGTTCTTGCTAATAACGTCGCGTCGCCTGTTGCCAAGGAGACTGGTCGTCCGATCATCAAGTACGAGGATGAGGGCGTGAATCTGATTGATCTCATGTAGGAGATTACGATTGAGATGGGGGGTCGGGGTGTAGATAGGCAAGGGTGCGGTCTTACGAGTTAATGGGACCTGGTTATGGAGATGAATTGGAAGGGGAGAGTATTGATCTAAAAGCTTGCGTTTAAATTATTGATATGGGATTGAATCACAGCGTTCGGATTTCCGAAATATGGGATGATAGTAGGGATATATATGATTGATCTAGAATATGTATGCGAGAAGTGATGCAAGACTATATCACCACGTGCTCTAGCCTCCTCGTTTCATTGTTCATGATTACAGCATGCTTTTATCTATCATTTTCTCTACTTAGACCATGTTGAATCTCTCCCGCCCGTCTACCCTTTCTACTTTTACAGCCGTCTGTCACACTCTTGAGAACTCCAATCTACCGTCTGTACGGCCCTCAATCCTGCATAACACTCCACCCCTCCCCCCTACCCCTTCCACCAAATCCCCTCCCACCCCTAACAACACGGCCATGCCCCCTCTCCCCCAACATCTTCCCCTGCGGCGCATCAATCTTTCCAAACTGCTCCGCCTTCTCTTGAGCCTCCGCCGACAACTGCGGTTCATTGCCCTTCGCCTCTTTCTCCTCTTTCTCTCCCTCAGCACCCTCCCCATCCTTAGCAGGCCACTTCTTCGCGAAATCCTGCGCCCCACCCCCCACAGCCCTCATCTCTTCATCCACCACCCCATCCTCCCTCGCCGCATACTTTCCCACAATCTCCAGTAAGTCCTTTTCTCCCTGCGCCTCCCTCTGCTTCTTCCACATCTCAAATTCATCCCACCACCACCCGTGCGTCACACCGTCTTTACCCAAATACCCCGCTTTGCCATCTTCGTCCAGCCGCGCCACCCACGGCTTATCCACGATATAGTGCAGCACAGCAACCTGATCATCGCGCCAAATATTCTCATGCCAGTACCGCCACGTCTTGAGCGCATTCGTCTTCCAGCTCAAACTGCTCCAGCGCCCGTCGAAGGCTTCGTTGAGGAAATCCTGGTCGGGGAATTTCATAGCGCGTAACTTGGTGTTGCCCAATTCCTCGAACTTGTTCAGCACGAAAGAAGACAGTTCCTTGCTGGGCCGATAGAGAAAAGTCCCAGAGTTGAAGTTGGATAATGTGTATGGTTCCGGCTTCACCTCCGCTAGCTGATCCGGTGCGGTGAGTTTGGCAATCGCGCAGTTCTGCGGGTTCCATTCCGCTGGGGCCCAGGAGTCGTGGTCGAGGTTGCAGACGCAGGTGTGTACGGCCATTGTACGCATGCCATCACCGCCGGTGAGATACGCGTCGTTTTCTTCGTTGAAGATCAAGGGCGACGGATCAGAAAAAACCATCATATCAGCATCCAACCAACAAATTCTCTCAAACCCCCCTCCAGGCATATCCCACAAATCGAACACCCGCAGTTTGGTCCATGTATCGATGAAGCGCTCGGCGACCATGCCGTGTTCTGTTCCATCTTCTGGCAGGCGGAGGTGTTCCACGGGGTGCAGGATTATGTTTGAGTAAGCGGCTTCGGCTTTGAAGGCGTTGATGCAGGTTTCTGGTAAGGTCTCCGGGGTGTAGGTTATTATGAGCGGGGTGGAAGGGGAGTGTTTGTGCAGGGTGTAGGCGAGGAGGATTGCGCCGGCTAGGTAGCTGGGGCGGGTGAGGAGGGTTACGTAGGCGTTTTTGCTTTGGGGGGCAGTTTGTTCGTCTGCCATTGTGAGTACCAGGGAGGCTCTGCGACGATGATTGTGTCTTGGTATTGGTGGTTCAGGGGGATACCGGCAGGGATATTGGAAGGTACATGTGGTTGGGAGGTGTTCACAGGTCCCACCATGGCTCTGACGTCACGACTCAACAATCCGAGGCCGGAAGGCACAACGCGTGTTATCGGAATTAGGATATACACATCTTGTGTGAAATGGAGAACGGGGAAATATAGTGTTACAGGTTCAAATTACGGGTATCTCAAGAATCCTACGTCGCGACGGCCACTCCCACATGCACCAATCGTACAATCCCCTAAAACTGCTTCCCATCCTCTTTCGCCAGCGCCTTGCCCCAGGCGCTCTCAAACGGATCGTCTGACTTGGCCTCCTGTACATCCTGTAAAGCTGCAACCTCAGGCACCACGCTCGGCGCCGTTAGCTCGACAGGAGCAGGAGCAGATTGACTCAACACAGCAGCAGCCTCTGGGCTTTCGTACTCGAAATTGCTGGAGTAGACGACAGCAGCGAACGCCTCAAGACCACCAACAGCTTCGATAGCAGCTAGGTACTCATTGTTGGCTCCGGTACCAATGCTGTGCGCTTGTCTGCAGAAAACGGCTAAGCTGTTCGCAACCTTGGCTTTGATGTCGTGTCCAACGATCTCCTGCACACGAGCGTGGTTATCAGAGATGGGCGGGATCTTGTAGGAGAGCTGTGAGATCTTGACGTCGACGAGGTGGGAGAAGGCAGCGTCGAGGAGCTGTGTGAGGACATGTGTGAAGGCAGGCGAGTCGATGAGGTCAGAGGTTTCGTCGATAAGGCGACGGAGAGAGGTTGTTGTCGTGGGTGATGTGGACTCGGAGGACGAGGTCATGCCGGATTCGCGGAGGACGTAGTCTTCCTGGTCTTGCGGTGGAAGGAGGAACGTGAGCCACTTGCATGTTCTGTGAGGGGTCAGCGGGTGTCATTTGAGATGAGATGCGGGTCATACCTTCGCTCTTCCTCTGTTGCACCTTCGACCCTCTTGCGCACTTCCAGGGTAAGTTCCGACAGTCTCTCCAAGGTCATCTCTTCTCTTGGGTTCACGAGCCCGAAGACGTCCTTGACTGCGGTCCGTACTTTCTCGATAAGCTCTATGCATCCCTTGTGTAGTAGCCACCAGCTCAAGCTGAGGTATCTGCGGTTGGTCTCGAAGTCGTTGCCATATGCTTGCTCGAAGTTGTCGTCGTCGTTGTTCTCCAAGTTGATCCTTGCGCCTTCGGTGGTCGACTGCGGCGCGGCTAACGAGACGACGGAGGCGAGGTAGTTTCGGCGGCCGAGGAGGTTCAGTTGAATGCGAGTCAGAAGCGTGAGGAGAGAGAGGGTGTAGATGAGGGTAAAGGCGCGTGTTATGGCTGGTCGCGTCAGTATGTCAAGTCTCAACGCCGACACGACGGTACTCACAGCTGATCTTCATCTCGCTCCATAGCTGCGCCTTGCTCTTCTTGCTCTTCCTGTCCTCCCTGACTTCTGGGATAGCCTCGGTAGGGCCCGTGCTGCTGTCACCCTCTGTAGCGATTTGGCTGGCATGGATGAAGCTATCCGTTTGGAGACTCGAGCTCCGTGCGTCATCCTCAGTCGTGTCTGCTACACTCGGGGGCGCTGAACTGGCAATCTCGCTGGGCCCGACACTCCGCGATAGGCGCTCTGCCTTTTGTCTCTGCAGCTCTTCCAGCACTTGTTCGACGGGAATGGCATCCAGTATGTTCTCGGTCGCGGTGGGCAGGATGGCGAGGACGGTGAAGGTGCAGTCTTCCTGGTTCTGCTCGAAGCGGCGGCGTAGACTGCATTGTCGTTAGAGCATGTCATGTGATGGACACGGTGTAGGCGGACTTCTCTTTGGCGATGCGATCATCGCTCATGCGCTGCCTCGCCTCCCCGAGCTTGCCCAGGACATACTGCCCCGCCAGATAACCCGCGCCGAGCACTCCGGCACCGATGGCAAAGTTTGTGCGGTTGCGTCTGAGCCAGCGACGCGTGCCCTGTATCATGGTGATGGTTGAGAGGGCTATGCAGCCCGCGTACTCGGGGGTGGAGCAGGCGTCGCGTGTGGGGAATCTCGGAACACGACCAGAGATAACGCTGCGTTCCGGGAGGTCACGGGTGCGTCAATGCGGCTATGCGTAGCGTGAGGGTCGTCGTAGTCCAATTAATCGTGTAGCGGTAAAGTGTATAGCAGATGTGCCGTCGTGAAAGAGCAATGCAGGCGTTCAGCTTCCAGCGCATGCGAGGTTGGTGTCCGGTTGCACCAAGCCTTCGTGATTGGGCCGAGGTCCATTGCCCTTTCGGGATAGGAAGCCCTGGCCGCTTTCCCCCAGAATGCTGTCATCACCAAACCACTTTCAGTAATCCGAGTCCCACACATGCTGCAACAGTTAAGCTGTGCTCCATCATGGGAATTTCTCAATGAATCAATATGTTTAGCCACTCAGGCCAAGTGTCTCAGAAATAGTTGCATTTTGAATTGAATAAATACAGTAGCAATGCATTCCTCCTCCGCTATGGCTCATTGTAGCCTGTGTTCAGTCCATGACAATAACAGGCCCCAGCGTCAGCAGCGAATGTATTGAGTTGAAAAATCGAAAAAGAATCAACATAAAACATCAAATCGTAAGGCGTGTCGTATAATCGTTATCGTAAAAACGTATGATGCGGTGATCAAGCGAGCGTTGTCGCTGTTGGTGTCGTTACTGTTGTCTCGGGAGTATCAGGAGAAGAAGTCGTACTCGTGATCGGAGATGGCGCCTCTGAGCTGACAGGCGTGACTGATGTTGGGGTTCTGTAAAGACTGTCAGACATTGTGCGCATCTTGAGGTATTGTATCGTTTGCTTTGGCCGTGTAGAAAGAAGAACCCGGTCTGGACTCTGGCTAGGTATATCTAGCGACATGACAAAGGAGACCGTGAGCGGACGTGGATGGCAACTTCCTACCGAAATGAAGACAAGGCGGATTCCACAGCGAGCATGCAATCGGTATGCTAGTAGTGCTAAGCCTACTAGTGGTGCCGGCAATACGACGCTGGACCAAAGCCTAAAGGAGAAGCCGGTCGGCCGTATATTATTTGAGAAGATGAAAGATGGTGAACGGAAAGGGAATGGACGGAGATCGACCGATGCAAGCATCTTCATCGTCGCGTTAGCTGCTTACTTTTAGTGCATAAACGTACCCGTGTGAAACGAGAATATAAAGTCCTCTGCATGGCAGCATACCCCCCTCTCCCCCTCAGTTCCTGGGAACTAAGGTTGGAGTAGTAAACCT